GAGAAACCTTCCCAGGCCGCCCATCGATGTTTGGTGTGGGGGAATCACGCCTTCCATGGCAAACCATCGAAACCCAAGAAACCCAGGGCACCCTGGAGGCAGGCAGGGTGTTTCTTGGCATGGGTCTCCACCGCACACCTCGGTCCGACCGTACCTCGTGTGCAGGGTCGTGCCCGCGGGCTCCTCGGTCGCCATGTGGCAGCTGGGCGCCTCCCCTGGGACCTCTCCGCCCCTTCTGACGGGGCTGGGCCTGGAGGAGCTCCCCCGAGAGGCCGAGGCTCGCGTCGTCCTCCTCCTCCTCCTCCCCCCTCCTCCTCCTCCTCCCCCCTCCCCCTCCCCTCCCCCTCCCCCTCCCCCCTCCCCCCTCCCCCTCCCCTCCCCCTCCCCCTCCCCTCCCCCTCCCCCTCCCCCTCCCCCCGCCCCCCTCTCCTCCTCCTCCTCCTCCTCCTCCTCTGCCTCCTCCTCCTCCTCCTCCTCCTCCTCCTCCTCCTCCTCCTCCTTCCTCCTCCCTCCTCCTCCTCCTCCTCCTCCTCCTCCTCCCTCCTCCTCCTCCTCCTCCCCCTCCTCTCCTCCTCCTCCCCCTCCTCCCCTCCCCCCCCCCCTCTCCTCCCACTCCCTCCTCCTCCTCCTCATCCTCCTCCCACTCCCCTCCCTCCTCACTCCTCCCCTTCCTCCTCCTCCTCCTCTCCTCCTCCTCCTCCTCCTCCTCCTCCTCCTCCTTTCCCCCCCTTCCCCCCCCCCCTCTCCTCCTCCACTTCTCCTCCTCCTCCTCCTCCTCCCTCCTCCTCCTCCTCCTCTCCTCCTCCTCCTCCTCCTCCTCCTGGCTCAAGCCGCTCTCGAGCGCAGGCCCGAACCACCCCGTGGGCCTGAGCGACCGCCCGCCCCGTCCGTTCTCGCAGCGCCGCGCCCTCCGGCGCCCGCGCGGCTCTCCTCCTCCTCCTCCTCTCCTTCTCCCCTCCTCCGCGGGGGGGGCGCGCCATGGAAGTCGACGTTTCCCTCGCGGCCGCAGGCGCACCCGCGGCCAGCGGCCGGCGGCGCCAGGAGCCAGGGGGAGAGGAGCAGGAGGACACGATGGAGGTGGACGCGAGCGTTCAGCTTGCGGCCCAGTTTCGGGCAGCGGTCTGGGCGGTCGACGTGCAAGGAGCATCGGCACGACCGGCCGCCTGCAGGGCCTGCGGCCTGGTCTTCGAAGCAGGCGAGTTGCGCTTGTGCACCTGGGGTAACCGCACGTGCTCACGCTGGATGTGCACTACCTGCCTGAAGGGTCGCCTGCCGCCAGGCGCGGAGCTCCGGCCTCATGGGAGAGGCGATGCGTTGAGCGCCGAGGCGGCGCGAGCGCAGACGGCAGTCCGCGAGGCTACCCGCGGAGCAGGAGCCGCCGCTGGAGGGGCGCCGCAGGCGCAGCAGCAGCAACACCAGCCCGTCCAGCATCCAGCTTGGGACGACAACGAGCTACCCGGCCAAGACTGGTGGACAGCCCTGCCGTGGGACGACCTGGTAACCACAGGAGCCACTACGTATGTGCAGATCCCAGACAGACTACGCGGCGCCGTCCTCCAGGTGCGCCGGAAGTCTTTGGAAATCCTTCGGCGCGCCCGGGAACGCGGGGAGGCGAAGGATGAATGGAAGTTGTTCTTGGTGCTGGACCTCCTCCTTCTCAGCACCAGCGACGAAACCGCGACCTACGCAGAGCTGCTCGAGGAGCGCCTTGCGTGGTTCTGGGGGGCTCAGTGGGACGCGCTCTGGGCGTCCGTCTGGCACGGGCGGAAGATCCCAGTGGCGGCCGCCAAGAACAGCGACAAACAAAAGGCGGCGCGGGTACACACCCTGGCAGCAGCTGGAGAAGAAGGCCGGGCTCTCCGAGCCACAGCCAACAGCAGACTGGCCCCACGCACCCCAGACACCTTGAACAAGGTAAAGGCGTGCTTCCGCGAAACAGCTCAGCCAGCGCCGCCGTTGGAGGGCATCCCGCGGGCTCCGCCAGAGATCCTCGAAAGCGTCCAGGAGGAGACAGCGAAATTGCTGCGGAAGCCGCCCCGTCTCTCGGCGCCGGGGCTGCTAGGCTGCCGCTTGGAACACCTCGAAGACGCGAAGCGTTGCGCCGAGACGTTGGGATGGCTCTCCGAAGCGATATCCTGGATCGCCTTCGGCATGCTGCCCAGCGAGGCCCTAGCCGTTCTCCCCACAGGGGAGGTCACGGCGCTCCAAAAGGGAGGCGACGACGTACGGCCGCTCGTTGTGGGCTCCACGGTGCGCCGCCTGGGCTTGCGAGCGCTGGCGCGGGTCAGGAAGGAGCAACTTCGGGCCGCAGCTGGCGACAGGCAGTACGGAGTCGGGAGGCCAGGCGGCACCGAACTCCTGCTGCGGAAGTTGGAGGCCCAGGCGGAAACCAGGCCCACAGCAGTCTTCCTGAAGCTGGACTTGGAGGCCGCCTTCCCCTCGCTAGAACGGGCGCCCGCCCTGGCGGCCATGGCAGAGCGAGACGAGGTGGTCGCGGCAGCGCTCCTCTCGTGGTACGGGCAGCCAGCGAAGCACCTCTGGCGAGACGCTGGGGGTCGTTTCCACCCGCTTCAAAGCGACAGGGGATTCGACCAGGGGGACCCCTTGTCGCCCGCTGCGTTCTCCGTGGCGCAGAGGGTTGCCTTGGACAGGTTCTACGAGGAGCTACTCCGCTTGGACCCACAGGCGAGGCTGTGCAGCTACCTGGACGACTCCTACCTGGTGGTGGAGGCTCCGCTGGCTGCTCTCGCACTGCAAGCCCTGCAACAGGCTCTCCAGCCCCTCGGGCTAAAGCTGAATTCCGGGAAGACAGCTGCTTGGTCCCCAGCTGGGCGAGCCGTGCTCACGGGAGAGCTGCAGGCTTGCTGGGTGCACAGCTTGCCCGTGCTCGGCAAGCACCTGCGACCGCCGGGCGACGCCGACAGCAGCGCGCCGGCAGCCCTCGGGGAGCCAGCGAACAGCCTCGCCGAAGCTGGGAGGAAGCTACAGAAGCTTTACCGAGAGCTTCAGAAACTGCACAAGGCAGGGCTCAAGAAGCACGCGACGGCAGCCCTCCTCCGCGCCTACGCAGGCCCGGCAAGCCAGCACTCCTTGCGAATGGAGCTCGCGACGGACGCCGCGACGGAGCAGTACGACGACCTGCTCGCTGGCTGCTGGCAGGACCTGCTTGGGCGGGACCTCGGCGACACGGCCAAGGAGCTGCTGGGCCTCCCAGCCCGCTTCGGGGGCTTGGGCGCGCAGCTGGCTACCACGCGCCGCCACGCGGCTTTCCTGGCCTCTTGGACGCTGGCGGCGGGGGAGGTCACGGAGGACAAGGGCAGCGGGACGCTGGCAGACTGCTTGGAACGGCTGCCGCGAGCGGCCCAGCAACTGACCACTGCGAGGCAAGGGCTGCAAGACCAAGGGCTGGAGCTCGCCGCGGGCGGGGACCTGGCGACTGCGCTGCAGGCGCCCCTGAAGCAAGGCCTGGCAACTGAGAAGGTACAAAGAAACCAGCACGCAGCTCTGCTGCGACGCTTGCACCTTCCCGGACAGGCCGAGCTGCGGGGGGCGGCCGGCAGCGGCAGCGGCGCCTACCTGACCTACCCAGAGGACGAACTCTGCACGCTGGAAGACGCCCACTGGGAGACCAGCGCCAGGCGGCGGCTGCAGCTCCCGCGCGCGGAGCTCAGCCAGCGCGAGCTCGCGACGACAGGGGCCGCCTGCTGCTTGCGCGGCGCCGACGGGGCCAGCTGCGCCAGGGCTCTGGACGAGCGCGGCTACCACGCCTTGACTTGCCAGCGGGGCGGGGGGGTGCTGGCGCGCCATGGCGGACTCAACCGGAGGGTCGCTGGGCTCCTCCACCGCTGGCGCGGCGAACGGCCACTCCTCGAGCAGAGAGTACCGACTTGGGACCGCCAGCGTCCAGAGGGCCAGCTCGAGCGCGCCATCCTGGACTTGGAGTACCAGGAAGACGACGGGGCCCGGTGGCTGGACGTCTCCGTTCGCCACCCCGCAGCCGGCACGCCAGCCGAGCTGCGCGTGGCCGCGCGCCGGGACGGCGAGGCCAGCAGGCGCGGCGAGCGCGAGAAGCACGCGCGCTACCCAGGCGCTCGGCTCACGCCCTTCGTCCTCGAGGCGGGGGGGCGGCTCGGCGCCGAGGCCCGCCTCTGGCTGCTCGGGCAGGTAAGACGCCTGCCTGAGGAACAGCAGCCGCGGGAGCTGGCGCGGGCCTACAAGGTCCTGAGCTGCGGCCTGCAAGCTGCCACGGCGCGCCAGCTCCGCAAGGCAGCCGGCCTGCGCTAGGCGGCGCGCCAGGCGTCGGCGCCGCCGCCACCGGAGGCCGCTCGAGGGGGACGCCGCCCTTGCCACCGCCTAGCGAGCGCGACACCCGGGCTGCAGAGCGCGGGCCAGCTGGCCGCAGGCCCCAGACGCTTGGCGAGGCCGCCAGCCAGCGCGACCCCGCGCCCGCGGGCCCGCTGCGGAGCGCTGCTGGCTTACTGCGCCGCTGACTGCGCTGCGGCGGCTGGGCGGCGCTACTGGGGGGCACCGACGACTGCGACGCCGCGGAGAGGCGCAGGCCGGCGGCCGGGGAGGTCGCGTTCGTCTACGAGCTCCCTTGTATGCTGGCCAGAGGCTCCGGCTGGCAGAAGCCCTCACCCTCCTGGGAGTAGCTGCTTGCATGTTTCGCAGGCAGTTACCCTCGGGGGTGCCGCCCCTTGGGGGTGGGCGGCGGGGGCGTCTGCCGGCTCCCGACTATGGAGCGTCGGGCGCGCGGAAGAGACCCGCGTCCGCCGCGCCTCCTCCTCCTCCTCCTCCTCCTCCTCCTCCTCCCCCTCCACCTCGTGCTCTTCTCGCTACCCCCTGCCCCGCACCCTCTCCAGCGCCCTGCCTCCCACTTCCTCCTGCTCTGGCTCCGGCTCCTTCTTCTCCTTCGACTCTCCTCCTCCCTCCCGTCCGCGGCCGTCGTCGGCGTCGACGTCGTCGTGCGCGGCGCCCGCGGGCGCCAGCGTGGGCGGGTCCTCGTCCATCGGCTCCGCCTTCGCGCCCTCCTCGTCGCTGCCTTCGGCCTCCAGGGGGTTGGGGGTCGAACACCGAGGCGACGGGAGAGGCGGATGGAGGGGGAAGGGGGGGAATGGAAATCAATAGGGGAAGAGGGAAAAAGCTTCCAGAAACCCCCAAGAAGCCCAAAAGGGGCCCCCAAACGGGCCTCAAGACGCTTCAAACGGCCTCCAAGAGGCTCCGCCAGGCCCCCAAACAGCTCCCAAGACGCCCACAAGAGTCCCCGGGATAGTGCCCAAGAAGCCCACGACGCCTCAACCGCTCAACCGCAGACTCCCCGCCTCTTCTAGGGGTCGGCGGGTTGGCGTGAGCCTCTTGACTAGTCAGTTCGTGGGGGAGGGAAGGAAGGAGAGGTGTGAGGCGGGCGAGGAACAGAGCCAGAGAGGAAGAGGCGGGGGAAGCGGCGGACGGGGGCACGCGGCCTGCACGCGGGGGGCCGAAGAGGGCGGGAGTTGGGCGTGGCTTAATGGGGGGGTCACAAATGGGGGGGTCAGAAAAGGTCCCCTTTCGTGCCCCTTTCGGGCCCCTCCAGAGCCCCAGGGGGCTCGTTTAGGTACCGTTTGGGTACCTTTTCGGACCACCCTCGCCGCCCCCCCATTTATGACCCCCCCATTACGCAGCGCCCAAGGGAGAGAGACACGCCCCCCTGCCGGCAGAGCCTGCCCCGGCGCGGTAGGAGGTGGTTGGCGCCGCAAGGCCTCGAGCAGCAGGCTGCCGAGGAGGAGCCCGGAGAGCGCCCCCCATCGGGCTGCGGGCGCCAGCGGCCCACTGCTCCACCCCACCGGCCGTGGCGACGAGCGACGACGGCAGGGGCGACGTCGCGCGCGTCGTCGATCGGTGGCCCCGTCGAGGGGACCCTCGAGAGGGCGGCCTCGTCCACGCGTGTCCGACGACCTGGTCCTCTTCGCCTCCAGCCTCCCCCTGGGGCCCGAGGAGCCCTCCCGAAGGCCACCCCGGCAGCCCGACGGGCCGAGGCATCGGGCTCAGACATCGATCCCTGGGCACCTCCCAGCCAGCGCCGATCCAAAAGATCTGCTCGGACCCCCAAACAGTTTACAGGAGAGCCCAGAATGGGCGCCGAGCCGAGATGGGTCGACTCGGCGGAAAGCGGCAGGCTAGCAGGCCTCCATGGAGAGATCGGCCTGCAAGTTGGAATCCGACGCCGAATCAAATCGGATGCGCAAACCATCGAAATCGAATCGAGTCGGAGGAGTCGGAATGAGCCCTGCTTTACCCGTCGGTCCGAAGAAATGGCAGAAACATGAAGTAGGTAGGAAGGCGTTACAGTAGATTAGGCTTCCGCCCGCCCCCTAAAGAGGAAGGAAAAGGAGAAAGCACTCGATGCTTGCAGTAGGAAGGCGCCTAAAGTGGAGTGGGATCTGGGAATCCAGAAATACCTACTCTCAACGACCGACGGGTATGCCTGTGGGATCGGTCTTCGGAGAATACCATCTCGCCGTGGCCGACCTGGCCCCCGCAGTAGGGGGCTGGGGGCCGTCTTCCTCGGGCTCCGCAGCACCCCACCCGCACCCAGAGGCAGTACTTACGCTGGGAGAGCCAGAACTAGCCTCACAGTCGAAGTACTACCAGAAGGAAGGCGAGATCAGGACCGACGCCCCTCTGTGGCCCCAGGAGCTCCTGGGTGCACGAGGAGGGCTAGGGGAACAGCCAAGGAAGGACCTAAGGAGCATCGAGCCTGGAGCCTCTGTGGGCGCGCTTGGGGCCTTCCGAACCCAAGCTGTTCCTTATATCGGCGTTGGCTGTACTCGAGGGAAGATAAACACAAGAACCATGACCAGTGGTCGCGGGATTTTGGCGATGCCGATCTTGGTGCCATGCCGGTCGTCACCGATTCGCGAGGATGCTATACACGAATTGTCGCTGACCAAGGTCGACGGTGACCAAGATCGACACGACGCCTCCGCGTTCAGCCTTGGTCGCGGTCTCCGTTCTCTCCCCCTCCACTGAATCATCCCGATCGGGGCTGAGATGGCTCTGACGAGGACGTATTCTCTTCGCGCCAGCGGCCCCCCCCTGGAAGGACCTGTTGGTCACGGTCTCCGTTTTTCTCCCCCTCCACTGAATCATCCCGATCGGGGCTGAGCTGGCTCTGACGATGACGTACTCCAGATTTCGTAATAAAGGGAGGGGGGTCTCATTTCGGGGGGGGTCTCTTCCAGGCTATCTTGGAGGGCCTGGGGGGTCTGGGGACGATGTTTTGGAGAGCTCTCCCACGGGGGAAGTCTGGAATGGCTTGTCTTGGAGGGTCCAGACCCCCTCCCTTGTATTACGAAATCTGGAGTATTCTCTTCGCGCCAGCGGCCCCCCCCCCCGGAAGGACCTGCCGGCAGCACGCACAGCCGGCACACACACACACACGAGACTTCCGCCCGCCCGCGCGCATCTCCCTCGGGTCGGCGCGGGGCCGCTCCCGGCGGCGCCGGCAGGGAGGAGGCTCTCGCCGCCGACCCAGGCACTGCAAAAAAAAAATTGCAAAAAAACCTGTGTTGCAAAAACAACTTTTTTGCAAAAAGAGGATTGCAAAAAAAAGATTGCAAAACAAAAAACACCTTTTTGCGATCCTTTTTTTTTGCAATTCTTGTTTGCAATCCTTTTTGTTGCAATCTTTTTTTTGCAATCGCTCGAGCGCCCCCTCAGCACTGAATCGGGAAGCCCGGTCGCATCGGCAGGCGCGTCGGCTGTGCCGGCTTCGTCGGGACGGGGAGCCGAAACCGAATCGGATCGGCTGCGCCGGGATGCACCACAGCGCCGTGCACGCATGGGGCAGCGTCGGGTCGTCGGCAGACGGATCGACGCGAGGATGCCCGTTCTCGGGCCGTGACTCGGGCCTCCTGGCGGCCGCTCGGGAGGAGCCAGGCACCCCCGAAACGCCCTCCGCGGGGCGCGGCTGCGAGAGAGCCTCCGGGATCCTGTGAGAGCCCGCCTGCAGAAGCTGGGAAGGGCCAAGCGTGCCCCCAGGAGGACGACGTACCTGAAGGGGCCCTGGGACACACAAAGAAACACACACAAACAAAAGGATTCCCCATATTTGTCCATATTTTCTGGGTTCTCGTCTTCCCCCCCACTTCCCATATTCTCCCATATTTTCTGGGACATCGCCGACTCATTGTGTCTGTGTGTTTCTTTCGTGGATCTTCTGACCCGGGTCAATCCAGACCCGGGTCAGCAGGAAACCAAAAACTGCAGTGCAGGAACAAGAATTGCACCGCAGGTCTTCGCGCGACCGCCTCGCGGCCACGAGCGGCTCGCTACCCCGGGTCAGCCAGAGGGGGTCTTCGCAGGATCCTGCAAGCTCCGGTGCCTTGGCTGACCCCCGTTTGCATTGACCCCCGTCTCGAGGCTCCCGATTCTCTCCCTCCTGAGCACCCCCAGCGACGCGTCCAGCGGCCATGGCTCCATATTTTTCCATATCTTCTGGGTTCTCGTCTTCCCCCCCCACTCCCCATATCTTGGGCGCCCGAGTTATCCGGGGTAACTCGGGTCCGGGGTAACTCGGGTTTGGATTCCCGAAAAGGGAACCCGAGTTATCCCTGACCCGAGTTACCCCTGATGATTCTGGGGCTCTGGACGCCCGAGTTATCCGGGGTAACTCGGGTCCGGGGTAACTCGGGTTCGGAATCCCGAAAAACGAACCCGAGTTAGCCCTGTCCCGAGTTACCCCTGATGATTCGGGGCTCTGAATATCCTCCCATACTTCCTGGGACATCGCCGACTCGTTGTGCCTGTGTGCTTCTCTCCCTCCCGAGCACCCCCCGGCGAGGCGTCCAGCGGCCACGGCTCCGGCGGCCACGGCGGCCGCCAGAACGCGGCGGCCGGGCGCCCCGAGGGTGCCCCGAGAGGCCCCCTCCCGTTGGGCGTGGCTAACTGGGGGGGTCACACATGGGGGGGTCAGAAAAGGTCCCCTTTCGTGCCCCTTTCGGGCCCCTCCAGAGCCCCAGGGGGCTCGTTTAGGTACCGGTTGGGTACCTTTTCGGACCACGCTCGCCACCCCCCCATTTATGACCCCCCCATTACGCGGCGCCCAATCCCGAAGGTGCGCCTGTGTGCCGGGGTACCCAGCCGAGGGGGGCGCAACGGTGGGGGGGGCCCCCCCCCCGACACGGCCCTCGGCGCGGCTTCGTCCTGCTAACTCGGGCCCCCCCCCCCCCCACCCCAACGCGCACCCCCCTGCCAGCCACGCGTGCCCAGCCCGACCCTGCCCAAAGCCGGGGCAAGCGGAAGCTTGCAGCCTCCCCTGCAGAGGCCGTCGAGCTCAGCTCCGGGCCGAGCCGGCCAGAGCCGACCTACAGCGGCGGACGGGCCGGACCCTCGGAGGCGTGGCCTCGTCCATGCCGCCCCGGAGCGTGCCGTCCTCGCACGCCTCCAGGTAGGACGCCGCGGGGTCGTCGCTCTGCAGCTCCTCTGGCGGCGGGTCGGTCCCGGCCTCCAGGGGCACGACGAGAAGGAACGGGTCTCACGCAAGATGGCACAGCGACCTTGCGCGGTGGCTTGCGCGGGCCGCCAGCGCGGCACGCTGCAGTGGAGACGAGGGCACTGACGCGCAATCTCACGCAGGCAACTCCTCCATTACGCGCGAGTGTCGGCCCAATGGAACTTGTGTTTCTGCGTCGCTGACTTGGTCATTCGAAAATGGAGTCAGGACAGGGACAGAGTCGGACCAAGATGCATCGGGGATCTCTCTATAAAATCTGGCGGGTCCGGAGGATGCACCGGGCGCCAGGCCGCTCCAGAGCGCGCCGAAACGCTCGAGAGCATTACGCAACGCTCTGTCCTGCACGCCGGTCGGAAGAAGTGGGTAGCAGCATGAAGTAGGAAGGCGGATAAAGTAGATTGGGTTCGGGCCCGCCCAAATCATAACACACAACAGCTAAACGATGTCGATGATTGAAACAGGAAGGCGCTTGAAGTAGATTGGGTTCTGGACATCCAAAAATACCTACGTACTTTCAACGACCGAGGGATAGCTAGAATCTAGAAGAAAATAAAAAACAGCATGAACACACACACACACACACTTTCGGAGGTCCGCTCGGACTTGTTCGATCTGCGCCGTGCTCCCCCACTCCCCCCTGGCGAGGCGCCTCCAGGGGTGGCCCCTGGCGCAGAGCCAAGAACTCCGCGGGGCCCGTCGAGACTTGATGCTCCTGCTTCGACGGAGGCTTCGGGGAGGACCCAGGGTCGAACAGGGCCGAGGCGCGCCCCCCCCCCCCCCCCGAGTAGGGGCCAGACGTCGGCGGGGGGGTGGGCCAGGGATGGGCTTCGAAGGGGATCCATGGCCTCGGTGTCGGGGCGCCTCTACACCTCCCCATCCTTCCCTTCCCTCTTCTCTTCTCAGACCCCATGCCCCTTCCCCTGTCCCCCCCTCCCCCGCCTCTCCCCATCCGCCCCCTGACGCTGCATTTCCCCAACCCTCTCCATCCGCCACTTCCTCCTCCTCCTCCTCCTCCTCCTCCTCCTCCTCCTCCTCCTCCTCCTCCTCCTCCTCCTCCTCCTCCTCCTATGCATGCAGCTTCCCACTTCCGATTGCGCATGACACCATGGGGTCATTTTTGGAATTCAAGGTCCGCTATTGCACTCGTCGGCGGATCAAGAAAATCAGCGCTATGCGATGGGTAGAACGGGCGAACCCGCAACAGAGGGCAGCGGAGGCGGGACGGGGAGACGGCAGGCGAGCGAATAGGCGAGAGACTCAGGCGCCAGAGAAGGAGAGGAGGCAGTGCAGTGCGCCTCGGGGGGGGGGGGGCGTCGCGAGGCGGCCCTGGCGGTGCGGCCAAAGATGCCCACAGCTTGCGCAGGGCGCTCGCGCCGCGACGCATGTCTGCATTTGTGTCGGGTGGATCTCGCGAGCGCCCCCTGCGCCTCAAGCGGTGCGCGATCAGACCAGGAAGCCAGCAGAGCCACAGGAGAGCGTGGCATTGACAGTGCAGCTCCGCACACGTGTCGAATGCTCTAGTGAGCAAGATCACAGCAGAGCCCCAGGACAGCGAGGCATTGTCAGTGTTGCCCAGCATCAACCCAGACCCACGACGCCGTGATTGTTGCGCAGCGTCGACCCCCAGAGGTCTCGACCCCTTTCCCGGGACTGGTCTTCTCATCCTGAGTCTCTTTCTGACGGCCCCAGAGCCCGGCGATGGCCCCCGCAGGCCACAAAGAGCGAAGAACCTCCCGTCCTGATCTCTTCGCAGCGCAAAACGGGTCTGGGAACACGGTGGCCGGGGCGGCCCACTCCGTACCCCGCATGGCCCCTCGGCGGCAGAGGCAACGGCCGCCTCCGCCCGCGCCGGAGCGCAGCCGCCCACCGCTCCCTCCCTGCCCTCCCTGCGGTCGCGGGGGGCCTCTCACGGTGCCTCACGGGTGGCTGCTGGCATCTGGCTGCTCCAATGATCGGCTACACGCAGGAGTGACCCTGGGTAAGAGTGACCTTTGGTGCGCGGCTTTTTGGGGGCCGCGGGGGACCAAACCTGGGCGCGCAAGCCGCTGCTCCTGCTCCGGTTCCAGCCATCTGGGGACCCATCTGTGCCCGCACCAAAGGTCACTCCGGCGAAAGGTCACTCTCACGTCTAGTCGGTCCAATGTTTCCGATGCGTGGGCCCCGGAGGTCCAGACCACCTTTCCAGGGCTGGTCCTTCGCCCTGCATCGTGCTTTGACGCTCCCGAGGCCCGGCGAGGGCCCCGGAGGCCGAGGACGGCCGAAAACCGCCCTTTTTTTTTTTTTTTTTTTTTTTTTTTTTTTTTTTTTTCTGGAGCGTCGGACCTCTGGGCCGTCCCCGGTGCCCACTTCCCCCTCGCATCCGCCCCCTCCGACCTCTCCCCCCCGACCGCACTGGCCCGCCTCCTCCGCCCCGCCGCCGTTCTCGTGCGCCCGACGTCGCGCACTCCTGCTGCGCAGCGCGAATACCTTCGCGCTCTCGCGCCGCCCCCCCCCCCCAGGGGAGAAGAGAAAGATGAGGACGAATCGGAGCCGAACCGCGAAGCGCGAATGCCTTCGCGCTCTCGAGGGAGCCCTTGCACCCCCCCCGTCTCCGCTTCCCTCCCGCATCCCGCCCACTCGATCCTCCCTTCCCGCCCCTCTTCCTCCCTGGGGCCTGGGCCTGGGGCCCTCTTCTGCCCCGCCGCCCCGTCCCCTTGAATAGGGGGAAAGGGGAAAACGAGGAGGACAACGACCAAGAGAAGGCGCTTTCGGGTTCCCACATCTGTCACTACTTACTTGCTTAAGCTTCTGCGATGCAGCATGGATGCAGCGGCCACGCTTCTGGAATGAGGAAGAGGAAGGGGAGGAGGAGGAGGAGGAGGAGGAGGAGGAGGAGGAGGAGGAGGAGGAGGAGGAGGAGGAGGAGGAGGAGGAGGAGGAGGAGGAGGTGGAGGAGGAGGAGGGAGAGGAGGAGGAGGAACAGTGTGGCGAAGGAAATAACTGGCGCGGGCGGCTCCTCCCAGGACGCCTTGGCCTTGCCCTCGAAGGCCTTGCTGTCCCCGACGGGTTTGTTGATCTCCTCCTTGAGACCACCCATGAAAGCGTCCAGGGAGTCACCCTGCCAAAATGGAGTCATAAACAACGGCATCAACTAAACGATTGGAGGTCAGAGCACAGTTGACGTTTCGGATCGGCGCTAGACCCCACAAGTGGCGCCTCCGTCGACGATCCAGGACATCCGCGCCGAGCTCCGACAGTTAATGCCAATTCCCCAAAAAACTGCTTGCAATCAAGGGTTCCCATGTGTGTTCGAAGGAATTCGGCCTGGGGGTCGGTCTGACAGTTATGTTCTCGCCATCGCCGCACCGTCGCTGCCTCGACGCCGCCCGTCGTCTGGGCCTGGGGGTCGTCTGGCGGCTATGTTGTCGCCCATCGCCGCCCCGTCGCCACCTGTCGTGTGGGCCTGGGGGTCGGACTGGCGGCTATGTTGTTGCCGTCGCCGCCTCGTCGCCGCCCACCATCTGGGCCGAGGGGCCGGTCTGGCGGCTATTGCTGTCGCCGCCGCCGCCCCGTCGCCATCCGTTGTCTGGGCCTGGGGGGTCGATGTGCCGCCCCGTTGCACAACGTCGATTCCCCTTCCTGAAAGAATGTTGGGGTCGCCCCCCCCCCCCCCCCCCTCCCCCGAATTAATGGGACCATTCGTGTGGCAATTTACATGCGACTCGGCCCCATGGCCCATCCTAAATATGAATTCCACCCGCCCTTTAGGGCGTAGGGGGTTTAGGGTGTTTCCTCTTCCACCCCCTTTTTCCCCTTCGGGGAAGGGTTTATCACTGTTCCCTATTAGTAAACACCTCTTCCCCCCAGGCGACTGGTAGCCAACCAGGAACCATGAGGGCCCCCCCCACACCATGTCAGGTTAAAAACATACAAAAACACACTCTGCCTCCAAACTCGGAGCATGCGCAGCCAACCCGATGCGGCCTCCCCCACCATCCCTGTTACAAACCATATAGAGCACACTTGGTGGCGGCGGCGGCGGCGGCTGCGGCGGCGGCTGCGGCGGCTGCGGCGGCGGCGGCGGGGGCGGCGGCGATGGCGGCGAGACGCCCAAAAGCCCCCCAGGACCGCCAAGGAGGCCCCCGAGACGTCCCAAGGGGCCACCAAGAAACGCCCAAGCGATATCCCAAGAGGCTCCGGAAAAAGGCATCCAAGAGACCTCTGGCATTTTTGCTCGCCCTCCTCCTCCTCCTGCTCGTCCTTCCTCCTACTCCTTCTGTTCCTCCTCCTCCTCCTCCTCCTTTTTCCTCTTCCTCCTCCTCCTCCTCCTCATCATCATCATCATCATCGTCACCATGATCATCATCATCACCATCATCATCACCATCATCATCATCATCATCATCATCCTCATCATCATCATCCTCATCATCTTCACCACCACCATCATATTCATTTTTCTTCTCCCCACTCCCCCATCCATCCATCCATCCATCCAGCCTCCTTTTTTCCCCTCCTCCCTCCTTCGCACGGTTCGGCTGTCCACTTCTACGCTCCAGCACATCCCTGATCACCTCAACTCGCCTGGACAACGTTTCCCGGTGGGCTGGTGGGGATATTTTTTTGGTTCGGCGGCCCGCAAGGAAACGTCCAGAGGGCGTGTCAATCACAGGCAATAGGGCGCAATGCCAGATAACTAGGGAGGGCCAGGCCACGAATGGAGGAAGCCGCCAAGAGGGCGCCAACCCACGCACGTGCAACATGCAGAACAGGACGACAGCGGGACCATGCCAGAATATTAGACCGACCGTCCTAACAACAGCTGACCAGACCAGCAGGCACACGCATCCCTGCACAGGACAAATTTTGCAGGAAGATTGGAAGGAGGAGCAGACGGGCCGCGCGTGGCAATATTGCACGGCACGAACACGCCGAGCGCCGAGCGGGGCGAGGGGAGGGGGCGAGCACGAGCCACACGAGCCGCGCGTGGCTGGTGGGGATACGCGAAGCGTGTAAAATCTGTATGATCCCGACGGAACCGGTATCCCCGCCCCCATCCTCTGCAACAAGGAGTACGCGCGTGCTCGTATATCACGAATCAGCCATGTACAGGAACACCTGGGACAACAAAGGACGACATGTGCACGCGCCCGCGTCGTCGCGCGCGCATGCCGAAATCACAAAAACCAGAATTGTCGCACGGATTCCAAAAACGGGCGCCCCGAAAACATGAAACTCGTGTGTCCGCAACTAGAATGTTCAGAAAAGTCTGCGCTCGCGCCCTTGCGAATGAAACAAACAACATCAGATGCTCAACGTGTTCATAACATGTTATCAGGCGGGGTTCCTGCGCGCGCATGTTGGAAACGTTCGAACGCCAGTGCGCGCGTGCTGTCGCATGAATTCCTTGCATCAGATTGGGAGAAAGTGCGCACGCGCACGTCGTCGCGCGCGAATGCCAAAATCCTTCACAAACCTTCGGTGTCATAGAGGTTTCCACATCGAGTGCCCTGAAAACATATGAAGCACACGTGGTTTTGCAACACCAGTTGTCAACACAAAGAACATGTGCAAGCCCTCTTGCGAATTCTTAAAAGCTGCGAAATGCAACTCGCTCAGATACTGCAGACAAGATGAAACATTTTCTTTAAACGCAGAAATGATGCAACCCACGCTGCATTTCGACATCAGTCGAACACCCCTGCAAGCGTCCGGGGAGGGGCACGATCCGTGTCAAATAATAAAATGCGAGCCGCTCTCGCGCATGTCGAACTCCTTATAGACCCTTCATCACCGACGCGAAGACGTCGTCCTCGTCGTTGGCGTGATCAGCATCGGCACCGTCAACGACCTTGCTGTAGTCGTTGTCACCATCGTCACCGGCACTGCTGCTATCATCACCGTGTCTATCGTGGTTGAGGTTGCTATAAAACCGCGCCCGCCCAAGTCGCCGACTCGCACTGAGGCGCCCGCTGCCCAACGGTCAGCGCCACCGCGGCCGCGTCGGTCGCGCCAAAATAGCTGGCCGCTGCGCGCGCGAGCATGCGCGGGCTAGTGCGGCCGCGGAGATGTACGAGTCAACACCAAACACTCATCCCAATCGCAGTCGCATGGGTTTTGCATATTAAGCTGCAGTAGGTGGATGGGACGATTGTGCGACCAATGGAGCTGACAACTGCAAGCTCGGCAGGGTGATTCCCACCGCATAGATTGCACCACGTAGGTAGCAAAACATAGAATGCCCAACATGTGCTGCACAACATCGATTGCACCGCATATGCTGCACCACATAGATTTCGCCACATAGATAGCACACCACAGTATGCCCCCATAGATCGCACAACATAGATTGCACCACGTAAACTGCCCAACTGAGGTTGCACCGCCTGCGTTGCACAATCTAGGTTGCACAGCATAGATCGCACAACTTAGATTACAACACGTATATTGTACAACATGTATTGTTCATAGCGATTGCTACAAACACAATAATTGGGACCCACGCTGGCTAACATGCTCTTGATTTTCTTCGCCGAAAGAAAGGCGGGTCGAGGAAGTGACGCGAAGAGACGGGTGGAAGCGGGCGCGATATGAAATGGGCAACTCCACCGCCACGCCGCGGCCCGAAAGAACGGGAGGGCGAGAGCGGGAGGAGAGCGGGCGCGGGGGAGGGGGGGCGAAGCACGCTCAAAGCATGAAGTCCTTGAGGGTATGTGTCAGAGCACGGGCGTGCGAAGACACTTCGCGCTTCGCGCTGCGCGAATAACTTCGCGCTTCGCGCTGCGCGAATAACTTCGCGCTCTCGCGCCGCCCCCAGGGAAGAAGAGGAAGATGAGGAATCGGAGCCGAACCGCGAAGCGCGAATAGCTTCGCAGCCTCGAGGGCGCCCTTGACGAAGCCCAAGGATGCGAGACTCGAACCCCGGGGCCACGATCTCAGTGCTTCGCCAGGACACGCCCACCCTGCGAAGCGCGGGGATAACACGTCGCTGAGCGGTGCCTGAGCCCCCCACCCCGAAGGCACAGGCCCCTGCCCAGAGCGGCAGCCAGACACGTCTGGCTTGCACCACGCGGGAGGAGGTGCTCGGAGGTGTGCGGCGGGAGCCCGAGGCGAGGGGTGCCAGGCGAGGCGAGGCGGAGGGGGCTTCCGGAGGTCCGAGGAGGCTCTCGCGGAGGACTCTCGACGAGGCCACGGGGGAGGCGAGGCGGGGCGGGGCCAGGAGGACAAACACTGCCTGAGCCTCGAGCCACCCTGGTTGCTGGGGTCGACCGGTGGCCGCCTCATGAGGGGTTCGGGCGCGGGTTGGAAGAGCGGGTCGGGACGGGACTTGCGGGGCGGGTCTGTCCCACACGCACAATTCGAGTCGCATACGGGGTCTGAACAGCAGGCGCGAACTTGGTTCCACACAAAGTGGGCTTCTCACGCACACGGGGCCACGCATGCTGTACGGATGAGCTGCTCAGGGTCACGGCGCAGCCACCGCTTTCTGCGGCCTGTTGCGGCCTTCTGATGTCGGGAAGCCTGGAAGGCTTCCTGTGGGCGGCGAGGGCGCAAGGGGGAGGAAAGGGGGGCAGCGCCACTTTACCACTCCCGCATTCCACACACACACCACACACACACACACTCACACACTCACACACTCACACACTAAAACACACACAAACAAACACGCACACGCACACACACACACACACACTGCTCCTCCTCGTCCTCCTCCTCCTCCTCCTTGTCCTACCTCTCACTTACCTCTCGGCCCAACAGGAAAAGTAAGTGGGAGGTACAGCCAGGAAGAGAATTGAACGAGGTGGAGGGATGGACGAGGTGGAGGGATGGACGAGGGTCACTGGAAGATGAAAGGATGGACAAGGTGGGCCGAGAGTCGTGGAGGGCCGAGAGTCTCGGCCTCCACCCTGTCCATCCCTTCATCTCCCAATGACCCCCAACGCCTCCCTCCTGCTTTCTCCCCGCTCTCCGCATCCTTCCACCTCACCAATCCCATCCTTACCTGATTCCCTTTCGGCCCATGGAGGCTTGTATAAGTACAGTCGGACTCGATTGGACAGGACAAGCGAGAGGACACAAGACCCTTCCGAGGGCCACACTGCCACAGGAATGTAGGAAGCACGGGTCGCGAGACACAGGACACAAGGGTACTCTTGATTTGGCAGGGTCGACCTACTAATCTGGGCCGACTGTACACAAGTGGCACGTGCGTGCCCAGGCTCATACAGCAGGAACTGCAGCACGCAAGCATCGCAGAGCATGGGCAAGCGGAGAAACATGAATTCAGACCCGAGGAGGCATTCAATTCAATTCTCAAGCCCTTCGAGGCCGGTTTCGGGTAACTTGGGGAAGACGTTGATCCAAGGAGGGGAGGAGGAGGAGGAGGAGGAGGAGGCGGAGGCGGAGGAGGAGGAGGAGGAGGAGGAGGAGGAGGACGAGGAGGAGATAGAGCCAGTGGAAAAAGAAGAGAAGGCGGATAATGAGCCTCACCAGGGGGCTGTTGGGACGGAGTTGCAACACCAAGATCGCTGTCGAACGCAGGTGGGGTTGTGACATGTTGAAGAGTATGAAGACAAATTTGAATCATAAACTGGGATTTCAATTTTGGGGGAGGTCTTACGCGAAACGGCTGCTGTTCTAAGAGGGACGTCCAACATCATTGAAATCAATTATGTTTGTGTAAGGCTTTGTAGAATGATACCAGAGAAAAAAACCCTATCAGGGCTATAGAGGGCTAGGGGGCTATAGGGCTGTAGGGCTATTGAGCTATAGGGCTATAGAATTGTAGGGCGATAGGGCTATTGGGCTTAGGGCTATTATAAGGCTATAGGGCACCCCCGGGCACCCCCGGGCACGCCCGGGCACCCGGGCACCCGGGCACCCGGGCACCCGGGCACCCCCGGGCACCCCCTGGGCACCCGGGCCCCGGGCACCCCCGGGCACCCGGGCGTGCAGCGAAAATCGGCGACAAACCTAACCTAACCATATGAATCCGCTAGGACCCCTACAGAGGCAAACTCTGATTGGGGAATGTTGAAAAACCATTGTGAGTTCGGACCGTGACGTCGCGATCTGCGTGAGGGGTGCGGTCGATGTTCAAACATTGAGGTTATCCCGAGCGAAACAGCAAAACTATCGCGGCAAGAGCGTTATCTAATCGCCTATGAGCTCTACTCCCTCGGAGAAGTGTCTATATGAATATATATATATATATATATATATATATATATATATAACATACGTGTATATATGTATACATCGATACACATACTTCTACATACATGTAACACGATAAGCGAGACCCGCGACGGCCACAACGGCGGCGGCGACGATGACGAGCGAGGATGGTCACGGCGGCGAAGGCGACGACCACGCCGAGGACGACGACGATGACGAACGACCAGCGACGACGCCAAAGCGACGACGACGGCCAAGACGGCGCCAGCGGAGGCCACGACGACGACAGCGACGACAACGACGTCATCGGCGACGACGGCGACCACGTCGGCGACGACGCGGGCGCCGACGACGGCGAGGATCAGCCAGGCCGGCGGTGGCGCCGAAGACCGACGACGAGCGGCCCGCGCCGAGCGCCTCGTCGGCCCCCGCAGGCCCCGCCTCCGCCGCGGCCCTGCCCGCGGGCAGGATCGCGGCCCTGCCGCCCGGGCCCTCGCCGTTGCCTGCGGCGGGCCACCACCCCCCGGCGGCGGGGCTGCGACGGCGCCGCCGAGAGCGGCCGCCGACGCCGAGAGCGACGCCGACGACGGCCGCGGCGGCGACGCCGACGGCGCCACGGCCGACGGCGCCGAGGCCCACGGCGGCGGCGGCGGCCGGCGCCGATGGCGACGGCGGCCGGCGCCGACGGCGGCGCCGACGATGCCCGCGGCGACGAAGCCGACGGCACCGCCAGCGGCGGCGCAAAAGCCAAGCACGCCACGGCGCGCGGGCACGGCACGGCGCCGCACGCCCGCCGGCGCGCGTTGCGCGCTGCTGTTGGGCAGCGCTTCATGGGGGGGCCCTCCGTGTGGGGTGGGAGACAGGTTTCCCTTTCGGGCCCTGAACCCAGGCATGATGGCGTCGTAAAAAATCAGGACGGGCGGTTTTCGGCTATTTTCGCCATCTAGAGGTCCTCGCCGGGCCTCGGGACCGTCAAAAAACGACTCAGGACGAAAAACCGGTCCCGGGGAAAGGGTCGGGACTTGCGGGGACGCCGTCCTGAAAAAATCAGGACGTCGCATGTCTGGGAAGGCCTTCTGGGCCCTAATTACAGGGCCCCCTGTAGGGGCCCTGAAGGGCCCCGTTCTGCAGCCCTCGCTGCCGCCCCCATGTATCGCACCCCGCCCATTACGCGACGCCCAAGTAAGGCCGTCAGCCATGGAGCCAGAATGAGAAACTGCGCCCTGGGGAAGAGGTTGGGACCTCCGGGACCGCGGAGTGAAACCTCATGGGACGCACAAAGACAGACTAGTACGATGTGTCTTCCTCGGGGGCGTGCGACCGACCCGAACTTTGTAGTATAACCATCTTGTAATATATATATATATATATACATATATATACATGTATATAGATCGTTTCCCGAGCGGTATGGCCAGAAAGCGCCCGCCCCTGGGGGGGGCGACGCTCACATAGTATCAGTACGTTAGGGAGACGCCGAGGGACCGCGTCGGGACCTCTGGGGCCGCGGATCGAAAACTCACATCGCTCGTGTTGGAGGCCTGATCTTCCCCCCCCCCTCGGTGATTACGATCGGCATGGGTACGGGAAGAATGGGCACAATGCCCAACAACAGTAATTCCCGTTCATTTTGAACAGGCTGCGGCGTCGGCGCGCGCAAAAGTTCTTGATACCGCGTCGATCGTCCAACCTTGAAACGATCACAGCCACGGTCGTTCAAGCTTGGATTCCGTCGGGTCCAGCGGCGTTACCGTGTCCCTCGGCCTTTCCACGTCACAGAATTCCACCTTGAAGGCCTTCGCCGGCGCCGCCGGCGCGCCAACGCCGCACGAACCTGCCGTAGCGAGGACGAGCGACTTTCCAAGGCTACTGTCGAGGTGCTACCAGGAGGAACGCCAAATCAAGACCGAAGGGGCTTTCCTGGCCACGACGAGGAGGAGGAGGAGGGTACCCGCCCTAGGCCGAAGGAGCGGCCCAAAAACCGGGGCCCCTCCGGAACACGCAGTGGTCACTAGTGCAGCGCCATTACTGTATGTTTGCATCCTTGCCCCTTCGGCCACATCGCTGGCAGTGCCAACTTGAACGGTGCCGACGTGGCCCTCCAAGGCCCTTGCATCCTCATCGCGCGTCCTTGTTGCACGCGTTGACTGCTGTACGAGACTGGGGAAACCAAAAGGTATCCATACCGCTACTCCCCGGACCTCTCACGGGGAGCGTTCTGACCGGAACTTCTAGGCGAGTCAAGCGGTGGCGACGAGGCCCTCCCAGGAGGCCCCACAAAGAGGACAACGAGGGAGGGGTAGCGGTAATTACCCGTCGGTCAGAAGAAGTGGGCAGAACCATAAAGTAGGAAGGCGTTGGAAGTAGATTGGGCCCCCGCTCGCCCCAGGACGAGGAAGGAAGAGAGAGCACCGCTCGACTCTTGAAGCAGGTCGGCGCCTAAAGACTAGGTTCATTGATTGGAATCTGGGAATCCAAGAATACATACTTTCAACGACCGCTGGCCACCCGAGAGTGCGAGCCCCCACGCGTGCGCCTTCGTCGCCAAAGCACGCGATGGCGCTGGCGGCGGGGCGCCGCGGCTGGCCGGGCCGGGCCCCGGCGAGGGGCGGGGGGCGGGGAGGGCGACACCCCCCCCAACGGCTCGGAGGGAGGGGGGAGGGGAGGGAGGAGGAGGGACGAGGAAGAAGGGAGGAGGGAGGAGAGGCGGGGAGGAGAGGGGGGGAAGATAGGGAGGAGGGAGAGGAGTAGGAATAGCAACATGACGGTGCCGTATACTTCGACAACACACGCCGCCCCCTGAGCTTGCCGAGGAAAACGACGAACAGGAAGGAGAGGAGGGTGGGGAGGGGAGAGGAAGAGGGAGGAGAGGGGAGGAGGAGAGGGGGGAAGAGTGGGGAGGAGGAGAGGGGGCAGGAGGGGGTGGAGGGTGAGGGATGAGGAGGAGCACAGAGCCGACCGACGAGGTGCGAAAATTTGTATTGGATATTGGCACAAATAGAACGACAAGTAAGGAGGAAGAGGAGGAAGAGGAAGAGGAGGAGAAGGGAGGAGTCGAAGAGGAGGACTGACGAGGAGGGAGGATGGATGTTCCAAGAGCGAAGCCTCTGGGCTCTGGGCGCCTGTTGCCCCAGGTGGGCTCCCTGGACATTCCAGACATTCCAGAGGCTTCTCGCCGTGACGGTCAGATTCCCCTCCGAATTCTGGGAGGGTGGCCGAGGAAACTGGAGGGGAAGAGGAGATGAGGAAACACATTACAGAGTGCAGCACAACAGAAAAAGGAGAGAACAGCAGAAGGATAAGCGGCAGCATGCGGAGGACGATTGGGGAGGAGGAGGGGTTGAAGGGGGGCACGTCTCTACCAGTTGCCAGCTTTACGCATCACTGCAAAATGCGCTCTCCTTGAAAAATTGGCGCATGCAAGCCCGCCACTCTGGACAGGGCCCCGCTGTGAAACGGAACCGCCTTGCATCGGTTTGGCGCGTCATCAGAAGCGCGAGAAACTATGCGAGATCCCCGTTTTCGGAAATTGACCGACCCAGATGTGCAAGTGTTGCACGAGTCTACGCTTGTGGCAATGAACTCCGAAGAAGGCCCAAGTGAGAGCTGCAGATAGACGAAGCGTTGCCCTGGCTCAGTGCACCGCTGCATGTGTTGAAACTTCGGGCCTTTAAACTTAGAGAAGTGTATGGCGGGAACACCCAGTTTGAAAAGGAGCAGTTCTCCATCGCCATAGCTGGTGTCATGATGTCAAACGAAGGTGCGCGGCGCTGACGCAAGAGCCATGTGTTGAAAACTGTCTGTGCTCAACCCATTGATGTGTTGCATGAGTTTGAGACGGATGTGCACGGCGCTTCGGCGAGAGCCATAGTTTGAAAAAGACCAGTCCTCCAGCCTCCAAGCCGCTGCAATCTGATTCAACGGATGTGCGCGGCGCCGAGGCGAGAGCCACGTTCTGAAAAGGAGCCGTCCTACATCCTTCAAGCTGTTGTGAACTTTAAGGCGAATGTGCGCGGAGCTTTGGCGAAAGCCAAAGTTTGAAAACCACCTGAGCTCCATCCTTGGAGCTGCTATACAAGTTTGAGACGAGTGCGCGGGAGGCTAAGGCCCCATCCAATCCTTCCTTGAAACTGTTGCAACGTTCAAGCTTCAAGATCACAAATGGCAAGAGCGTCTCAAGATAAACGCCAGGCGGGCCCTACCGACACGCCGTGGGGTGTAAGACAATAAGTTGGTTTACAAGCAAGAGGAAGATAGAGGGCGGCGGCTGAAAGGAGCGAGGAGGAGGAGTGGAGGAGGGAGGATGGAAAGGAAAGAGGAAGAGAGGGAGGAGGGGCGGAGGAGGGAGGGGTAGAAGGAGGAGGGAGGGGGGGGAGGAGAAGAAGGAGGAGGAGAGGAGAGGAGAGAGGAGAGGAGAGGAGGAGGAGGAGGAGGAGGAGGGAGGAGGAGGAGGAGGAGGAAGACGAGGAGGAGGAGGAGGAGGAGGAGGAGGAGGAGGAGGAGGAGGGGAGGAGGAGGAGGAGGGGAGGAGGAGGAGAGGAGGAGGAGGAGGAGGAGGAGAGGAGAAGGCGGAGGAGGAGGAGGAGGAGGAGGAGGAGGCGGAGGAGGAGGAGGGGAGGAGGCGGAGGAGGAGGAGGAAGAGGAGGAGGAGGAGCAGGAGGAGGAAGGAGGAGGGAGGATGAGGAAGGAGGACGAGGGACGAGGAGGAGGGAGAAGGGGGGGCGGGAGAAAGCGGGCAGGGAGGAAGGAGGAGGGGAGAGGAGGGGGGAGGATGGGGAGGGAGGGTTCGGGCAGGCGCCGCCGTCTCCGCCCCCCGGAGGGCAATCTTGAACCCCGGCATCGGCGGGCGGCGCCCCGCGAAGCGCGGCCGGGGGGGGGGGGGGCGAAGGCGGAGCACGGCGCGTCAGGGGAGCGGAGGGGGGGAGGAGGATCAAGGTAGGGAGCCCACAAAGGACGTACGCGCCCAGCTATGTACATGAACACGGCCCCTCGATTCGCGAGACCGACCGCGTGGTACGAACATTTGAGCAATGCGTGCTCTCGAAACCAGCGTGGATTCATGTACATGTACGTGCTTCTTTCGCTCCTGACAAGGGGACGTAAGACCTGGGTACAGGGGACTCGGAAATCCCCGACGAGGTCGTCAAAAAAATGACGAGGCCAAGCCTGCATTTTGACGAGGCCTCCCGCTGCAGACATCCCACGAAACTCCTCCTCGTCAAAATCCGAGGCGCGGTCGTCAAAAAACGATGGCGAACCCGAGTCCTGGCAAACCCGGGTCTTACGCTCCCCCGAGAGGAGAGGAGGAAGGCAGGGATGAGGAGGAAGGCAGGGTGGAGGAGGAGATCAGAGGAGGGAAGGAAGGCAGGGATGCGTGGAATATGCGTAGAAGACATCTACACGTGGGCGTTTTCTTCCTCCCCAGAGAAAAACTGGTGACC